CCTCATGCGTGTTCTTTTTTTGTTTTTCCATTGCATAACGCAAGAAAATCCCTTGGGAGTTTCTATTTCCAGTGTCTCACAGGTCCTTCTTCCAGATAGACATGTAATAAAACCCAACTGCAAAACATTTCGGAAGTCAAGGCGCTGTAAAGCAGTTAAATGTTTGAAATAAAACCAATAACATTTGGCTGGAAAAGAAAAATGTAAAAAGAAAATGAAATAAAGAAAGTGAGAGAGCATGTCAAACTCCAGAAAACAGCTTATTTGTGGATTGTCACGTAATCGGAGTAATTGGTTTTTGTTTTGTTTTTCCGAAAAAAATGTCCATACTTTGTGTGCCAAAAGAAGTATATTCCTAATGCCACACTTGGAGAACAGGTTAAAGTGTACCTGTAATGGGTATTCTCTACATTGTGCTAGCACATTTGTTCGTAAATACATACATTGGGAGAAAAACGTACTTTTAAAATAGTTCTTTCTCCCACCTGCCAGTCAAATTTTCAGCATAGACTCTGTGTGACAAATTCCACTGTCCCTGAACTATTGTTTTACATTGAATGGTCCAGTATACGAACATCACCGCACAAACTGCTCAATTTGGTTTGTATACCGAACGAGCAGACCACCCAGAACAGTCGTGTGCCGCTCATTGACCTGCTTAACCTCCTTCTCACCTTTGCAAACTGCAATTAACAACGTTCTAAGCAGACGGCTGAGTGGCCGCCATTCGTATGGACGAACACAATGAGGCCGCCTACAGCGGTGTTGGGTCGTCGAGTGTATGGAACTATTATCGGGCACTTAACGGCGCGAATACCTCTGGGACTTCCACCTCCATGGATGTTCGGTTCCATTAGACTGAGAAGAGCAGCGTTCAGTGGGAATAAACTCCTGAACGAGGGGCACACGGCTAACTTACACATGAACGGTTACCTTCGGTATTTAACTGTGTTTTGTACTCCCGAAAGAGACCGACTGCTCAGCCTGAATTCATGGAACTCTTTTGGGGGGAGCGCCTTGTTTGTGGTCGGTCTAAACTATACCCCGGTAGCGTTTCAGCTGCGTTCGTGGGATCTGAATGGTTTCTGGATATGTCCAGGCTATCCGGGGATATTGGACCTGAAGGGGTACCTGCTTGTTAAATGTGTATTTTGGGTTGTTTTTGGTTATGTATGTCCTGGACTTGAGTTAATGTAATTATGTGTGGGGAATGCCCCTGGAATATGTAATAAGAAACCCCTTGCATGGGGACTTGCATATAAGGCCAGTTGTGGCTCCCATTCAAACAGTTCAACTTCACCCTCAACATAGACTTTTGTCTCGTGATTGTAGGGAACAGCTATACCTGCTTTATTACCACTTGGATTACTGCTTGGGAATATTACAGCATTACTTGTACCAGGGGAAAAATACATCTCTGGTGGCGGAAACCCCTCTTCTCTTGGGGTGGCCTCTACACTATGCCGAAGAATTAACTGACAAGGGAGAGCAACCACAGCGCATGCATTGTAGTTGCTATGGTAACTCCCTAGTCGACACTGCTACATTGGCTAGGCAGCATAGGAACAGAGGGGCTAACATCACGCCATTCAGAAGCCAGGATGTTGGCAATGAAACCAGCATGTTAGCGTCACACCGGAGATTTGCCCTACATGGGGCAAATCAAGGAAGAGAGGAGGAGGAGGAACAAGGGACAGACTGAAAGGGAGTTGTTAAGGAAGAGTAACACGCATGAAATCAGAAAATTGCGTGCCATGTTTACTTTAAGTCTGTTATTATTCTTCAGTCCTTTCGTGTATAGACTCACTTCAGTGGGAGTCTGCCCTCTCATTTTCTTATGGATATGTAACACTCCAAGCACAATGAACACTATGCTTACTGTAGTGGTTATGGTGCCAGGAGAACCTGCCCCCCCCACCACATTGTAAGTAGTCAAACCTTTTATTTCTTACCTGAGATCTGCATGATTCTGATCACCACTTCCAATGGAGAGCCTATAGCTCCTAAGCAGGACCTTTCATTAGCTCTCCTGAGCTAAACTCTTAGCCAATGGGTTAAGCTTTGCACCACTGGGCTTAGCTCAGGCAGACAGCTTCTTGGTCTCTGCTTGAAGTAGTGATGGCGGGGAGCAGTATCTGGCAGGCCCCATCTAAGAAGTCAAACATGTTTGACTCCTTAAAGTAGGAAGGGGCACTAGGGCTCTCCTGGCACCATAACCACTACAATGCACTTTGTCTGTCAACGCCTTTTTTAGTGGTAGAAATAGAAATGCATACCCCCAGAACAATTGGCGGACAGGAGGCATAATTTACCCTACGTAATGAGTTGGGCCTGTCTAACAAAAGGGCAAATCATCTGGCCTGATTGCCAATTGCTCTGGCAAGTCCCACTGAGGGCAGCACAATGCACTTTTATAGAGCTCTGCCTATTTGCTGAACACCTCTAGATGTGGGCAACCAGAAAGCAAACCCAGGACAGTTGGACAGGACCCCACATTAGGACTGTTTCCCTGAATCCAGGATGGTTGTGAGGTGTGAAGGTGCAGTGGAATAGTTTGCATCAGAGACCCTTAAAGGACCACTCTAGGCACCCAGACCACTTCAGCTTAATGAAGTGGTCTGGGTGCCAGATCCAGCTAGGGTTAACCCATTTTTTTTATAAACATAGCAGTTTCAGAGAAACTGCTATGTTTATTAATGGGTTAAGCCTTCCCCCAAAGCCTCTAGTGGCTGTCTCATTGACAGCCACTAGAGGCGCTTGCGTGCTTCTCACTGTGATTTTCACAGTGAGAGCACACCAGCGTCCATAGGAAAGCATTGTAAATGCTTTCCTATGTGACCGGCTGAATGTGCGCGCAGCTAGCCCAGGAGGAGGAACGGAGGAGGATCGGAGGAGGATCGGAGGAGGAGAGCTCTCCACCCAGCGCTGGAAAAAGGTAAGTTTCCAGAGCCAAGTATGTTTTCCTGGCACTATAGTGGTCCTTTAAGAACTGAGATTTGATCTCTCTGTATCTATTTAGACATCTCTTTTGGTCATTTGATTTGGAGCGTCCTCCATTTGGCTAGTCACTAAATCACGAACTGAGCAATAGCACTTTTTAGACCATGTCTGCTATCTTAGCCTAAAATGTCAAATTCCTGGTTACTTACCAACGTTTCACAGTTTAGTAAATACACCTGATGGTCCAATAAGTCTGTTCAGGGAAGCAAATCATCATTTAAATCCACTCACGTGATGAATTGTGATATAATGTTTGCCTTGGACCTCGGAAATAATCAGAAGGATTTCAAAGACTGTAATGTACTGCTTGTCTGTAATACTTATTTTTTATTTATTTATTTATTACTATTTTCAAGCGGTCCGGCTCACTTTAGCCATGCAGGGAATGATAGGTTAACATGAGATGACATTCGTGTTTTGATGTTGACACTGCCTTAAAATAGTGAATTGTCTAGGAATTTTCCATTTTTAATCCAAAGTAGATGTGCTAGAAACTTCTGAATTGGAACAGGTTTGTCTGACTGTGTTTGTGTAAATCTTGCAGTCGATCTTATAAATTCTCAATTTCAGTGACTAACCCTCAAAACATTTGTCAACTTCTGATCCTGAAGGGGTTAACAACACCCACCATAAAGCAGCACTCCCTCATACCCAAGTGTAGTAGTGCCAACTCAGATCTAATTACAGGTTCCAGTCATTCCTCAACCATGCCAGACATCCCGCCATGTTAATATTTAATCTTGTACAGATTAAGAGCCTGGCAACCATGGAAACCTGTGTTTTCACTCTTAATGTAAGTTGAGAGATGAGAAATAAAAGGGGATCAAACTTTTGCTTCTGAAAACATGAGATCATTCAAAATATGGCTGGTTAGTCACAAGACAAATTAACCCCCAGAATGCCAAAAGGCAGGAAAAGTAACTTCCTTGCGTGTAAATGTAACATTCTAATAAAGTTTAATTGGTACATAAAACTGGCAGGACGAATCATTGTTTGTTATGGCTGGTTGGTATTGAGGTGGCACTAGGTGCAATGTGAGATACACTGACAGACCATTGTAAAAATCCAACATGTCTTAACCCCTTAAGGACACATGACATGTCTGACATGTCATGATTCCCTTTTATTCCAGAAGTTTGGTCCTTAAGGGGTTAAAGAAACACAACAAAAACATGAAGGTCTTCAGCTTGCATTGGAGATCTGTTTTTTAAATGGTAAAAAATACATTTTTAAATGGTGTGTTCCTTTAAAAATCGCATAATCGCATTATTAAATAATAATTAAATATATATATATATATTAAATGTAATATATACCGGTTTATATTACATTTTGAAATTATTTTTATCCAAGAATGGTAAAAATGCAGTAATTTAATACAGAGGCAATAATTTATTCTATGTTCACTGTATAACCTGCATGGGAAGCATGGAGCCATTTTAAAATCAAAACCAGAATATCTGCCCATTCTGCCGCATGTTGCAGTGATGGATCATGAGTCGATATCATGTTTAAATGTAACACAATAACAGGAAATTTATTTATGCATCACTCGCATTATATCCTGTTTTCAGAAAAGAGTAAATTTGAGTTGGACAGGTGCTGGATATTCTGCTAGGCATCTCATGTAGCCAAAGGGTAGTTTCTCTGTTTGATATTAAAATACGAAGATATCCGTGGTATCTGAACATGCCCTCCAGTCATCTTTGAAGGCTTTTTTTTTTTTCTCTCACAGGGTTATTCACTAGATCGGTCTTTAACCCCTTAAGGACGGAGCCGGTTGTACAAGTTGTGATCAAAACAAAAGCTTGAATTTTTGCTATGTCTGTTCAACCATAATGCACCTCTTTCATATTAAATGCACTCCCACTTATTATATATAATTTTGTTCATGAGAACTAGGGCTTTTATGACACATCCAATATTTATATATGAAACATAATTTAATATAAATAAGTGAAAAATTAAGAAATGTAATATTTATTTTTTTTGTTCTGCATGGCATTTTAACTGTGAATGTCATAATTCTGTTAGCTGCAATAAAGTACACATATTTGTATTCAGCGATTTCTTATGAGTAAAACAGTATCCCCAACGTACAGGTTTTATGGTGTTTTGGGAAGTTACAGGGTCAAATATAGCATGTTACACTTTTCAGTATATACACATTGAAATTTGCAAGATTGGTTATATTGCCTTTGAGACCGTACGGTAGCCCAGGAATTAAAATTACCCTCATGATGGCATACCATTTGCAAAAGTAGACAACCCAAGGTATTACAAATGGGGTATGTCCAGACTTTTTTAGTAGCCATTTAGTCACAAACACTGGCCAAAGCATATTTGTTTGTATGTGAAAAAAACCAAAAAAAGAAACTGAGCGCTAATTGTTAAAATATATTTAATATTTTTTTTAATTTTTATTTATATATAGCTATGTATAACGATTCAAATACCTATATCAAATTAACCGATAATCCTACATCAGATATTAAGAGCAAATTCAAAAAGTATTTGGACAAAAGATTAGATGCTGGAATCCTGGATCAAAAAGAATACCGATACATCCAAGTTATACACCCCAGAATCCATGTCATCTATTTCCTGCCCAAGATCCACAAAAACTTGAATAATCCTCCAGGACGACCTATCAGCTCTGGTATTGGATCCCTCCTTTCCAACTTATCAGAATATATCCATATTCTTTTGCAGCCCTATGTCATCAAGACAAAATCATATCTCAAAGACACCATGGACCTTCTCTAAAAATTGGATAACATTGTTTTGGGAACAAAATTTTGTATTAATCACCTGTGATGTACAGTCACTGTACACCATAATCCAACATGATAAAGGTTGCCAAGCTGTGAGATTCATATTCAGATTCAAATCGACTTTTTGATTGAGGCATTGATATGTTTTTTTTTTCAAAAATAACTACTTTTGGTTTAAAAATTGTTTTTATTTACAGACAAGCGGCACAGCGGTGGGCACTAGATTTGCGCTCAGCTATGCCAACCTTTACATGGCAGAATGGGAGGATTGATATGTTTTGAGTCGACATGGCTGGACAAAATGTCCGGTGTCTTATTCAAGGTATATAGATGACCTTCTTTTTATTTGGAGAGGATCTATCACATCAGCATGAGATTTTATTTCCTTTTTAAATTCCAACGAAGAAGGGATTTTTTTTTTTTATTCTTTATTTTTGCAGTGCATATGAACATAACAAACTTGCATGGGGTACCCCAACGACAATCCTCATGCTTTTTTTCGACATTAGTAACATTGGGGTATGCGATGGTTCTTGCACAGTTTTATATTTAGTAGAGATAATAGGTCGCAGGCTAGCTAGGCAGGTTTACATAACAAGATACAAACAAGCATAACTCAGGATTCTAATCTAACCTGTGCGTGAGAGGTTATACATAGATAGATGGTGACCCTCAGGCGTACCTATGGGTTAGGTGTGAAATATACATGCAAAATGAGACAACCACTGGATTATAGGGCTTTGGTTATTTCTATATTGCTGTTGCATTTATGACTCATGGAGCAAGTAGAGGACAATGTCTAAGGCTTAGGTTAGCTTGTCAACAGAGATAACAGAGAAAAAGTGATTGGACAGATTGGTTAGTATTTTGGGTATCCTATCTCAGATGTTAGGTTCATGGCTCTCGCTCACTATTGCTAATCATCATAACCAGTGCATACTTAAACATGAACATAGTTAGGTTAACGAGTTGAACTATCGATGTCAACCTCCTGTGCTCCTCCCCTTATTGCACATGCTTTAAGAGTATGGTTAGGGAAATGTGAAAAGAGAGGAAAAAAGAAAAAGAAAAACAACACTTAAATTAAGCCTTAATCATGTATCACGGGTCACTCGGGTAGTGTTGCCACAGGTAAATCATGTCTGTCAGTGTGTGGTAATGCCTTTCACGTTCTCGGGGCCCTTTTCTCTGTTCATCCGATCCCTGTAGGTAGCAAGGTTGGTGCTGGGCGGGGAGTGATACCAAGGACCCCTTCGGTCGATGGAGACTGCTTCCAGGCTTCCCAGGGAGGCAGCGTGCGGTGTTCCATGTGGGTGTTTGCACAGAGGTATGTAGCTTTTTCGGACTAGTCCCTGTAGCGTGTAGGGGGTTTGGGCTAGACTGGAGGTGGCTCTGGTGCTTTCCTCCTTGTGGGTACCGCACTCTTCCCCTTCGTTGAGCAAATTGGTGAGGTAAGGGGCGCTGAGGGGGTGACCATGTGGTGAGTCCACGTTGAGGCATTGAGTGACCCACCACTGGTCAGCGATTAAGGTACTGGGGCTGCCGTCTACCTGCCCATCTCCTTCTTCCCGCTTTCCAATTCTCCCCTGAGGCCCGTCCCAGAGTCACAGGCTGCTGCTCGGAGTTTCGTGGGATTGCAGTCGGCGGGGTTTCAACCAAGGTGCACCTGCGGGTAGAGAGCCTGGCCCAAAAAGCAGCGAGCAGACGGTCAGTCCGCTCCGATAGTGAGGGCAGCGGGGGCCCTGGTGCTGGGTAATTTATGGCGTCTGCCATTTTGTGCATCATTGGTCCGATGGTGCAGGTAAGCCGATTTTGGTTCTCCTGTTTCGGGCTGCAGTCTGTCATTGCCGGGATATCCCTCTCCGGCAGGGGGGGGAGAAATGGAGTGTGCCGGGGAGACCGTCTGTGATTTTAGGCCGCAGTCGGTGGAGGGATCGGCCGCCTCCCTCGTGCCGTCTGGGTAGGCCCCATGTAGGCCTCAGATCTATCCCACGGCCGCAACCGCCGATTCTGGCCAAAGACCTGATTTTGCATCGCTGTAGCGGTGGACTCCTGTCTCTGGGGCTCAAAAGCAGGCATGGAGTGCGTCGTTTGCAGGATTTTTGTCGCGTTTTTGCCCACTTTAGCCCGGAGCTCGTCTAATGTGCAGCCGCTCAGCTTGGCTGCCAAGCTCCGCCCCCAGAAGGGATAGTTTTAACTGCCGATTTTAGCAATACTGAAGTTACTTATTTAGATCTCAATATTTATATAAAAGACAAAATAAATACAAAAACACACTTCAAAGATGTACATGTGAACAATTATATAGACATCAATAGTTGCCACAGCAAAATATGGCTAGAGAGTATACCTAAAAGCCATATAACCAGATTAAGGAGAAACTGCTCGGACTACTGTGTTCAAAAAACAAGCAGACGATCTAAAAAAGAGATTTACATGAAAAGGATATGAGAATAAAACTATAGAATCAACAATAAGTCAAACACTACTATTAAATCAAAAAGATCTCCTATATAGAGAAAAAACTCTAAATAAAATTTCCCATTACCTATAGTGTTAGACTATAACAACAAAAATAGAAAACTCAAAAAGATCCTTAATAGACACTGGCATCTATTAAAGAAGACAAGATACTAAAAAATCTAATTCCAGAAAAAATTAAAATAGTGTTCAAAGGTGCACCAAACTTGAAAATTAAACTAAAGATAGTCCAAATAAAATTCATAACTTTATAATAGAAAAAAAAGGCTTTTACAAATGTAACTGTTGCTTAGCCTGCAGAAGAACCACTTTTAAATCAAACATGAAAATGTAGCAGAAATGTAATCTATCTACTGGAGTGACCATGTGGCCTCGAATATATTGGACGTACGATCAGACCACTGAAAATAAGAAAAGCAGAGCACTGCAGAAACATAGACAAGGGTAAAAAAATCACTCTGTATCATAACACTTCTGCTTACATGAAAAAAAATCTCAAGCATCACCGGAATTACTATCGTAAAAAAAACATTGGAGAGGAGGAGATTTTTTTTTAAGAAAATTGGGAAAAAAGAAATGGAATGGGTCTATCATATGAATACTTTACATCCAAATGGTTTAAACCTAGAATTTGACTTATTCAATTTCATATAGTGGAAAAAATCTTATTAATGAAAAAATTATTTGAGATAAATATGTACAAATACAAACACACATTTTTTGGGCTTGACATCTTAACAGCCATTATACCCATCCTTATTTCTGAGTATCAGTTTTTTTTTATGCTGCACCTATACTTTACACAAATATATTTGTGGCATGTGATATGTTAGTATCATTATACTTATGTATGTAATTTTTCTTTTATCTTTTATCACCATTTTTATATGTATTCTAACATTTATGCTTAAATTGTGGGTTATTTTCCTAATGATTATTTACTAACTATCTATTATCATTCTGTACTTTAAATTTTTTTTATTTTTTTTTAAATGATATAATTACATGAACTACATAATTAATAATCCCAAGTTATAGCACAGATGTTATATTTAATTATACAATTGTGCGCCTGATGCATCCCCCTTTCCCCCCCACATGTTGCCATTTTTAAATATGGCCGCAGAGACACTTCCAGCATTTAGGAACACATGAATCAAATGGGGCACCCATTCCGGACCACTACCTATCAACTTAGTGCCCAAAGAGACACCATTTCACTAGATTAATTTAATCAATTTCATTCTTTATTCCTTTTTTTATACAAGGGATGTTTATTATGTTTATTGAATCACAGCCGCGCCATTTTAGTCCCGTATGCATTCCAAAATGGAAGAACGCAGCGTCACTTCCGGTATGACGCGTGTGTTCCAGAATGGTTACAGGAAACTGCCAATTAACACACCAGGAAGTAGTTTTCACTCACAGACTGCTTATAAAAACTGAACTTTATGAGGATTATACCACACTTCTGAAGAAGCCTTGGAGAGGCAAAACGCGTAAAGTGTGACTCCTAAAGCTATTTTATATTGTTTTTTTTTGTATGGTATATAAATAGTATATTTTATATTTATACTTTTATTTTTCCATTTACTACTTCCTGGCATCATCCTATTCCTAGTACTTACTTCACCTTTGGAGCATATTTTTTGTATTTACTCCTATATATATCCTGCAAACTGCACTTCATTTGGGACGCGTACACCATCACATATCCTTAGACTGGATTGTTCCGTCCAAGCGTTATAACAGCTGAGCTCTGAATTAGCTCAACCAAATGTGAGTGAAATCACATAAGATCACACATAACTTATTCATTGTACGTACTGTACTCCACTATTATTATTTCTTCTGTTCTTTATTTTTGAGGTCTAATGCGTATATAACCTGTACATAATCTTTGGGTATGGTTTCTTTCTACTTTTCCAATTTTCACTATCCACAAGGTTTGGGAATCCTTGTATTTGTAGCCCATTCTCATACTGCGTCATACTATAGTGAGCGCCTATTATCTTTCCTTTTACGTCTTGTGTATATAGATGGATAGATATATAGATACATATATGCATTTATAACCTCATTCTAAATGTATTTTGATTTAATATATACGTATATTAATATCAAAATACAGTTAGAAAAAAATTAAACCAGTATATGTCGTGTGTGTGTGTGTGTGTGTGTGTGTGTGTGTATATGTATGTATGTATGTATGTATGAATATATATATATATATATATATAATATGTGTGTGTGTGTGTATATATATATATATATATATATATATATATATATATATATATATATATACACACATACTGATCTAAGTACTTTTATTATATTTATAAGGTGTTTTAAAACTTTATTTTACAATCAAATATCTGATGTTGGCACTCAACAAGGGGATAGGTGCAGGTATTGAGGTCACCCACTCATATAACCTCCTAAAAATATAATTGAACAATACAAGGAATACCGCAGTCAAAGTATTGCAAAAGAGTATATTTCAAATATGTGCATAAAGAAAAATCAAACCAAATATTTACATTACAAATGGAAGAGGAAAAAACCACATACTCCTATTCTATTGACTCAGTGTGTGGCTCCACCGGAGACATTACTTATGATTATGATTGTCTTTATATCAATTACTAATTGGTTGTTTATTGATTTGATTTTTGTCGAATTTCTATACAACTATACATATGCAAAATGAGTAATAGGTATGGTTTTGGTGATTTAGCGGCTTTATGAGTGTGCGTAGTAATTCAGAGTTTTTTTTTCCCCTTCCATTTGCACATATTTGAAATATACTCTTTTGCAGTACTTTGAGTGCGCTATTCCTTGTATTGTTAAATTAAAACTTTATTTTACCTTTTAAAACTTTTTTGACAGGCTTTAGGGGGACAGCCTGAGAGCTAAGGCAGTCCCCCAGCAGGCACTGCATAAGCCGGCTATTCCGTCCATGTGATCGCGAGGACCCCGCGATCACATGGCCCTGGGGGGGCCGGATCGGGCAGAGGGGGTCTGTCTGAGCTCCCAGGTAGACCCCAGGATCGCGACCACTTTAGGGGGAATGGCGGGGACCCAATGAGTGCAAAGGATGGCGGGACCTTCTATGCCACCCTCCAGCGTTTAGAGCCACCTTAAAAAGGATGGCATAGAACGCCCAATGTCCTTAAGGGGTTAAATGCACATTCATTGTTTACCTGCTGTTTGTAAATAAATGATCTTTACAAGAACCATTTATTCACTGGCAGCACTAGCAGGTAGCGGGACAAATGTTCAGTAGCCCTTGGCGCTTTGAGGGTTAAGCATATGATGGCGGGTCAGTGCTTGCTAGCTAGCTGCCACATTTTAAAAAGTAAATTAAGTCTACAGAGGTCAAGATACCCCCATATTACCCTAAATAACGTTTTAATCTCCCCCTTCCTCCATGCTCCTACCTGCTGTGCTGCAGAAGTGAGCATCTACTAAACATTTACAACTAGCGACTGGGTAGTCATTAAATGTTTTTAGTAAGGGACACTAGGTTCTACTCCTCTTGTGTAATTAGACTAACCACGGCCAATGGGTAGGGGCTGGGGGAGGCTCTTGGTCTTTTTGCCCCTTGTATAATTATTTATGGCCTCTCATGTAGCCAATGAATGGGGTTTGGTAGGAACAGTTATAACCCCCGGTTGTATTTTAACATCCCCACCTGCAGCCAATGGGTGGGGCTTGTGGGGGACACCAGGTGCCCCTTGTTTTGTATGCCGCCCCCACCCTTTGACCACAGGTGGGGTGAGGGGGTAGATAGTGATCTATTCATCTCCAATTATTATTATTTCTGAATCCCCCACCCGATGCCTGCTTAGTGGGGACAGATGTCCTCTACCTTGTTATTTTACAAGCATTATCGACATTTTGGCCATTCTAGCGACTGGGCAGTTGGCTATTGATATTTAGTAGAGATCCCCAACCTGCGTTCTAATGTGGTGACTGGCTAGCTGCCACATGGTTAACCCTCACAGCGCATAGGGTTTGGATTTTTAAGTGCCTGGATTAAAAGTATTTGTACCTAGATTTCATGCATTCGGCCGCCTTTGGTCTTTTTTTGTTTTGTGTACCAGCGTTGCAGACAGAACTGTTTTTGCATTTAAAACTTAAGACCACATTACTAAATAAGGACCCTCTCACCCCATCCATGTATTGAAACCAAATCTGCACTTGGAGTGCTTGTCCAGTGTTATGCGTTTTTCAAGAAAAGTAGAGGTAAGGAACAAGACTGCAGAAAAAATGGATTAGAAGTCTGTACCTTTAAGGAAAACTCCACTATTTTTAGGAAAATAACAAAGTCTTTGAAACGAGTAACAAGAATTATTTGTTAACAAGAATTCTAGTCTGCCTTTATTGGTATGAAATAAAATATATTTTTCCAGTAGCACTTGTTAGTAAGTTGCAAAGCTTGTTATAAAAGTA